GGCCTAATTAAATCGAGTATGGAGAATCACATTAATAGACACGAAATCCTCTCTCCAAGGTCCTATGCTTTTAGGAAAAACCATTCAACATCGCAATGTATCAATGATGTGATCAACACTATAGCTAATTTAAAAGCTCGTGGCTTCCATGTTACAGCAGCTGTTCTTGATTTAAACAAAGCGTTTGACGCGGTCAAAATTCCTATCCTAGGTAAAAAATTAGTTAATTTAGGTTTTAACCACTCCCATATTAAATTCATTATCAATTTCCTTAATAAAAGAATTTTAACTTTGGGCAAGGCAGAGGTTACAGTCGACAAAGGGGTTAGTCAGGGAAGCTGTCTTAGCCCAATTTTATTTAATCTTTACACTCTTGAGCTTCATAATCTAAGCAACAATCATGACAGTACTCTTTTCCAGTACGCGGACGATTTTTTTTTAGTCTGCTATGACAAGGTTTTTTCGTTGGCTGAATCTAAATTAGAGCAGAAAGTGAATCTTTTTAGGGAAATGTGCAATTTAATCAATCTTTCATTTAATGAAAATAAATCAGCCACTATACACTTTAATCTTAGGAGAAGACCTCTTAACGTACAGTGTAATAACATCACCTTAAATAATGTAAATAGTGTCAACTATTTGGGTAGAATCATAAGTTCTAACAACTCGTCTGTACCACATGTTAAAAAAATTATTTCAAAATCAAATCAAATAAATATGTTTCTACAAATGCTAAGTGGTTGCCACTTCGGAGTTCATCCAAGTAAATCGCTTCTTTTTTATAAAGCTTTTATAAGATCTAGGTTTGAGTACGCCTGTTCCTCATTCGCTAACTTGTCTAAAGCAGCTCTAAATATTATTAATTCCCACGCTAATTTTCACCTGAGAAAAGCATTAGGCCTTATTAAGTCAACTCCTGTCAAAATTATTTATCATCTCGCTGCTGAACTACCTCCCATTTACAGAATTTAATTCGCTACAACTAAAGAGTTAGCCAAATCCTTCGCGTACAAACTTCCATCTGCTTCACTCTTACCTCTTTCATACTCATACACTAAAACCAGCTATAGTAGAATTTATTCTAAATATATAAACCTTTTTAATCATATTGCTCCCATCAACCCTATTTTTACTTTTCCTCGCAAATTATCCCTAGACACAAATTTTTTTAAAGGTACCTGCGTTAACAAAAAGCAAGCTAATGAAGTCATTGTTTTTACTTTGTTGAACGAAAAATTGAATTCTTTTAATAACTTACACATGGAAATTTTTTACACTGACGGTTCAGTCTCGGAAAATTTTACAGGTTATGCATTTGTTCATTCAAAGTCAAATACTGTTGATAGTTTCTTTACTAACAAAAAGCTGTCGTCTATGACCGCTGAACTTTTAGCCTTGGAAAAAGACATTGATTTTGCAATTTCCAACTGCTTCCCAAAGATAGCCATACTGACGGATAGCCTTGGCGCTATACAAACTCTACAAAATAACGGCTCCAACAATTATATTGCCCAGGAAATATTCTCCAAAATCGAAAGTTGTCCCACGCTCTCAAAGGTTGTAGTTCACCACATACCCAGCCATGCAAATATTTGGGAAAACGAAATTGCTGATAGAGCAGCAAAAAACGCTTCTATACACGGCTCCTTCAAATATGTTAGATGGACATTGAGTGATGCGATCAACTATATTTTTCATTATATTCAAGATGATTGGGAAAGAGACTATAACGTTTTCTCTATGGAACGTAATAAAGGCTATTCAAACTTTAGGCCTTTCATCACCAAGAAACCCTGGTTCTATAAAACGGATATTTTCGACCGTTTAGACACAAAACAATTAAATAGAATCCTTAGCGGACATGCGTTCGATAAGTTCACTTTATCCAAAATGAATATTTTTGACAATGCTCTTTGCGACACATGCAATGCAGTGGAAAATGTTTCACATCTTATTTTAAATTGTACAAAATACTCAAGCATTCGCCGCCATTTTCCAACACTTTTAAAATATAATGATATTTATCGCTTCTTTGTAAATGAACCAATCGACAACTACATATCGATAACGTCGTTTTTAAAGCAAGCCAAAATTAATTTATAAAAATTATTGTCTTTAATACAGGGATCGGCACCCCAATACATTGATATGATTTTACCGCATTAGTGTTAGTAACGAATAGCAGAAAGTAGGCTGTGTGCATGACGTTTCACACATGTATACTGTGTGTGTGTGGCAGAGCTCGGGCAGAGAAATTTCCTATGCCCCCGAGATAGGGCCGTGCCGACCTCTGCTTTAATACAAGCGCAATTTTTTAGATCTCCTGAAATAAGATTTCATACATTGGCTGTGGCGTTAACCCGTCTAAACGGGGAGGCCAAATAATCCTTCCACTACAGGAAGTAACTTAATATAAAAAAAAAAAAAAAATAACATGTATTGTCACTGACAATAGAAATGATTTTTTTTTAATTTTCCTCTATATTTTCTATGAATAAGTTTATATATTAAAACTGTCATGTGTTTAATTTTGTTGTAAAAAAAAGTTTGTAACAAAATGCGAAGATTGCAAGCCAAAAATTCACATTTAATTGCTCAGAATTAACAAGAAAAGTGCTACCTAGGTAGGGTGACCAGGCGTCCGTATTAATACGGACATGTCCGTATTTTCAGCTCTGTGTACGTTAGTCCGTATTTTTTTTGTAAAATGTCAGTATTTTTCGCGTTTCTGACGAAAAAACAGGTTGCACCTGCAATTTTTCCGAAATGAGTTTCTAGACTTAAACATTCGAAAGCGCCCGCGCTCGCAGTTGACGTAGAGGACGCGCAATCAATTAAGCACGCGTTATACGGTAAAATTCCCTCGAAATATGGGACGATTGCGTACGGTTATTCGGTTTGCTATGTATGCATTCTGTCGCGTACATACATTGCTTATAGCGTTGTTTTGTGTATTTCTGTAACAGCTGACTTTTTTATTCTCAATCAGTTAATCTTTAACAAAACAACCAACTCGTAAGTATTCTGAATGTTTTATAAACGATAATTACGATTAGATTAGTTGAAAGCTTTATTGTAAAAAAAAAAGTGTACTTGTTGTTGCAGATCCTGGAAGTTCAGGTTTCAAGTAAGCGAATGGTCTGAATGTTTTCAACACGAAATTCGGTAAAGCAAAATCTAAACTGACACCCGACAATCCAATTATTTTAGAGAGTTTTTTCAAAGATGATTTTGCGGAATTGCAATTGCTGTTTATAAGTTCACTTATGAATGTCTTTCACAATAGAATCAAAAGCATCGAACGTGAAGACAATTCTTTTCTAGAAGTTTTGCAAACCATTGACTAAGTATGGGAGACTTTGAGGTAAAGAAACTGAGTGTCAAAACTTTACAGAATCCATGCTTGTAGTGTTATGAAAGATCTTGTTGAAATGGAGCCAGTCATTATATTATATTTAGCCAGTTATTTGGAAGACTTCGAATGGTTAAATTTCAAGCCAGGAAAAGATTTGAGGTATGAATCTGTTGAAAAATCTGTTGCATTTCTCGCATCCAAAAATATTCAAATTGATTATTCAAAATTGTTCAACCAGTTTGTTAATAAAAAAAAATTTTTGAATGAAAAAGAAAAGCGAGAAAAAGAAGCAAGAGATGATTTTTTCAAAAAAAGTAGCGATGAAAAAGTCTGTGATTTTCTTTCTGCTAACAGCTGTCTTAAATCATGTTCTGAAATACTCAAAATTGCTCAATATTTCTTTGCGATTCCCTGTCACAACGCAAATTGCGAACGCGTTTTTTCACTTGTTAATATTCAATGGAGCGACGAACAAAAAAAATTTGGTTTTCAAAAACTTGAAAAGTATAATCTTGGTTCAATTCAATTTCAAAAAATATTCCTTTCAACAGTTTCATACATATTTGAAAAAGAACACTGCTTTGTTGAAACAAATCGGGAGTAATGACAAATACGCATACATTTTGTTTTACTCAAGGTGACAGTGCCATTTTTTAATACATTTCAAAAGTAATACTTTTAAGTTTTAAGGAAACGAGAAAACGGTGGTGTCCGTATTTTCCACTTCAGCTATCTGGTCAACCTAATCAAAGCGGCGGAAGAGAGTGAAAAACCAAAACGAGCAAAACCAAAAAAATGGAAAAAAGTAAAAATACAAACCACTATTTGCAACTGACACCTCACAATCACAAACAATGCAATGAGCAAAATATGCAGATTTCCCATCGCTAAAACTACGAGAATAAGTTTTTCTCAACTCCTCTGTAAATGTACACTTGCGTTTGGTTGAATTCGGCGTGGTTTTCAAGCGTTTGTGATCGGGTGACTCGGACATTATGCCGTGTTAATTGTCACAAGCTTGTTGTCCCTGTCGGGTGTCAGTTTAGATTTTGCTTTACCGAATTTCGTGTTGAAAACATTCAGACCATTCGCTTACTTGAAACCTGAACTTCCAGGATCTGCAACAACAAGTACACTTTTTTTTTTACAATAAAGCTTTCAACTAATCTAATCGTAATTATCGTTTATAAAACATTCAGAATACTTACGAGTTGGTTGTTTTGTTAAAGATTAACTGATTGATAATAAAAAAGTCAGCTGTTACAGAAATACACAAAACAACGCTATAAGCAATGTATGTACGCGACAGTATGCATACATAGCAAACCGAATAACCGTACGCAATCGTCCCATATTTCTAGGGAATTTTACCGTATAACGCGTGCTAAATTGATTGCGCGTCCTCTACGTCAACTGCGAGCGCGGGCGCTTTCGAATGTTTAAGTCTAGAAACTCATTTCGGAAAAATTGCAGGTGCAACCTGTTTTTTCGTCAAAAACGCGAAAAATACTGACATTTTACAAAAAAAATACGGACTAACGGACACAGAGCTGAAAATACGGACATGTCCGTATTAATACGGACGCCTGGTCACCCTATAAATACTACACATTTTATTTTTACATTTTAAATTACATATTACATCTTACATTTACATATTTTTAAATTATTTTTACATTTACATTTATTTCATTTTAAAGCTCTCTTCAGTTCTTCCTTTCACATAAGACTTTATTTATGGTATATAATAAAGTTGACCCTCGAATCGTGAATTGTATACTTGACTTTTAAATTTCCAGAAGCACCACGTTTTCCCCTTTTGGTGGGGACTAAAATAGCGTGAATCATCTGCGTCCTTTTTATCTGTGGAAAAATCACGTCAATTAATATTGCGATATAAATATAGCAATTTACAATTTAATTGTGAATGTTTTAAAAAATGTTTTAAGGTAGTATAATTATTGCCTTTTTACCTTCGCTTTGTTGAGGGAATGTTTTTAGTAAGATAAAACACTGGACTTCCTTTTAAAGAAATGAGAGAAAAAATTGACACAATCTAAGAATTTATTCAATAAATGCATTCAATAAAACAAAATGAATATATAAAAAACATTACCAATTTGTGTTCAAAATTCTGCTTAAGAATGGGCCATTCCTCGATAAGCTAAGTGTAGCGTCCGAGAAAAATAAACTTTTGCGCCACTCAAAACTAAGATCCAATTTTTCGTTGACCTCTTCACAAGGCTGGGCTTCATCTTGTCACTATTGAACATCAGCCATATTACCTGAAAATGTATTTGGGAAATTATTTTTAACCTTTGAAGTGGGGCGTATTTTACCAGTTGATAACTTTTTCTCCTTAGCCTTCAAATGATAAATTTTGCCATATGCAGCAGACCTTCTGGCTTTTTTCCGATGTTAAGATCTATCATGTCTTTCCACAATTAGCTCTAGATTAATTTAATTAGTAATTAAATTAAATTACTTATGAAATTAGTAACGTTTTTAGTAACTTACCAGCGAAAAAAAAGAAAAGGCTTCTCAGTTTATCTTTTTTCAGCAAGGAATCAATTAGCACTTTTTAAATAAACTTTTTAATAAATTTGTAATGTCAACATCTTAGAGATAGTTTAAATATCGTTACATTATTTCTTAACATGATTTTTTTTATTTAACATGTTAAAACTTTATACATAAAATATAATATAGATCAGTCTGCATTTATCTGCCCGTGTTCTGCCACACACACAGTATAAATGTGTGAAACGTCATGACGCGTCATGCTCAGAGCCTACTTTCTGCTTTCTGCTATACTAGTACTAATGCGTTAAAATCATATCAATGTATTGGGTGCCGACCACGGACAGAGATAAAATATAAAAAAAATTCTATATTAAACAAAATATTTCTATTTTCTAGGGTTACTTAAATTAAAGGGTAACACTGTGCATTTTTAGAAAGGAATTTCTATATTGTAGAAACAGTTTTCTATTTTGTAGGGTTAGTATCTTTTTAGGAAAAGGATTTCTATATTGTAGAAACAGTTTTCTATTTTTTAGGGTTAGTAAATTTTATGGTGAGCCTTTCTATTATTAAGAAAATATTTCCTGAAAATAAGTCATAATTTGCCTTAATTATAAAAAAGTTTTCTTGATTTTAGGACGATTTCAGTTTATGGCGACTATTTCTATATTTGAGAAAAACTTATTTGATTTAAGAAATTTTTCTTGTTTTCAGAAAATTTTTTCTAGAAACTAGAAATTTTTTCTTGTATTTAGAAAAAATTAAGTTTTATGGCGAATTTCTAAATTTAAGGGTAAATTTTATTTTGAGTGTAGGGGAAGTGGCGACGGCGGACGTCATTGGAAGGAGGTTGCTGGAGGACGCCCAGTTCTGGGCAGACTTGAGCAGCTTCGCCGCCTACATGATGAAGGAGCTGAGAAGGCTAGAGCGACTCCGAGCGGAGGCTAGGCTAGCCTAGGCCAACTGTAGTGGGGCGCATAAGCACGCCAATTTCCTGGCCCTGCGAAGCAAAGCCTAGTGGCATTACCGCAGGGGACAGGCACCTAGTAGACACTTTTTCACTTTCCTTTTTGTTAGAGCTTAGTTTTAAGTCTTTCTTTGTTAATAAACGATAAAAAAAAAAAAAATATATGCATATATATAAGTATATATATAGAAATAATATTATATATAATTTTTATATAAATGAAAGGGATGACATCATGACACTTATAAATGATTATGGGTATTGTTGTTTTGTTTCATGTGGAGTTGCCTTAAACGGCTCCCCACACGCGTAGGTCCGAAGAAAGGGGTACTTCAAAGGCCTTGGCTGTGGCTAAAGGAACGTTTTATTCTGTAAAATTCATAAATTAGTTTACAATTCAAATATATATCTTCTTCTTACCACAGTGTGCCCTCCTACAATCAACAAAACAATGAAAGGCACTTTTCGGCGGCATTCACACTACCGCTATTAGTAGGCCCGTAATTCCTATAACTTAAAATACTACATTTCCTAATAATACTGACTTAACTATGGATAACAATGTTTTGACCGTCGACAGGTATATAAGAACTTTATAGCTAGGAATATGTAAATTTTATTAGGAATGAAAGAAATGACTGTATGGTTATTTAATTTTAAAATATATAGGTAAATTATATACAATAGCACAGATTCACTCCTAAAAATATATAAAAGAAGTTCTAGGTTTGCTTTCTATCAGTTTATTTTTAAATTTTCGAAATGAAAACGTTCGTTTGTAATCTCTGTATAGAAAGTCCTTCCTTTAAATATCGCCACATTCTAAAAAAAACACAACTTCAGAAATACAAAAGCCCAAAAGCCCGATCCTTATACTATAATTGCTACTTCTGTCCTGAAGTGAAAAAGTACTGGGTCCGAAGTGAATTATGGATCATCCAACGATATTAATGGAAATAATTAACTTAACACGAACTTTAAAATATTTCCTTTAAATTTAAAATATTGGTTTTCATTTAATTTCAATCAACTATTTTAAATATAAATTTATTTTAATTATAAAGTTGATTTGAATAAAAATAAAAAGTCCAAAAGTAATTTATTTGAATAATTATTTATTTTTCATGAATTACAAATATGTATAATAAAACCTCATTTACAAATTTTCGATTAGCTGTTTTGATTTGGCCAAAAAAAATTCCAGAAAATCAGTTTTTTTTTGGCCTGTTACTCAGATGTCCCCCCTTAAGTTTGATTTTTTTATTTCTCTTGGGGCTCAAAGAGCGGAGCCAGAGGCATAGGCAATGGCAAAGGCTAAGGCGAAGATCGGTGAGATTGAATTTGAAAAATTGTTTATAAATGCCATAAGAGGCCTGGTTTCATGGGTTGGATAACTTATAAAATGGATTGTCCCAATTCATTATTAATCGGTCTCTTAGTTTTGAAATTTTCTGTGTATTTTTTTCTGTGAAAATTTCTTGATGATTTGTGTTTTTTATATAATAATTTTATGTTTTGAATTTTCATTTTTTAATTTTCATGGTTAGTTTTTTTCTTCTAGTTCTGGCCGTTGTTTTTTGTTACAAAAATAAAGTTTTTATATTTTATAAAAAGTAAAAAAATTAAATGTACGATGATTACAATTAATAATATATAAGAAATACGAAGTTTTGTATTTTTAATTAGGAAATATGGATTGAGAATATTTATATTATCAAGAGTAAGTTCTGAATTATTAGAAATAATATATGCGCCAAGATCATAATTAATAAATTTATGCTGTGCTATGTAGTTTAATATTTTCCTTTCGGTGTTTACATAAGTAATATTTTTTATGGTTACTGAGTCATTGAACAAAATTAAATATGAACCTTGTTGTTTTGTTATGTCTACTATGTTTGTTCAAAAACGTTCGCGAACGTCGGCGAGTGCAGACGTGCTTTCTTTTTGTCTTCTTATTCGAATGCGAAAAGTTCGAATGCTCTCGTAAACTCGATACTGAATCTAATAGGACCAGACAATTTCCACATAATTCCATTAACAAAGGGAAATATTCATGAAACTAAAGTTCAGACTAATACGGAAGTAAACTACAGAATTTTGTCGAAGTATTTAAACGACAATAATAAAAACTTCTCCACGTACCAATTAAAAAGCAGTAAGGGCCAGCAAGTAGTACTAGAAGGTATCGAGCCGGAAGTAACACCAGATGAAGTTACAAGAGCACTGATGGAGAAAGGATTTAATGTAAAAAATGTTATTAACATTTTGAATAGAGAAAGAAAGCCTCAACCTCTTTTCAAGGTAAAACTCGAACCCGAAACCAAATCCAAGCCTCTAAAAAAAAATGAAGTGCATCCAATCTTTACTCTCCAGTTCCTACTACACCGCAGAATTACGGTAGAGGAGCCGCATAAAAGAAATGGACCGGTGCAGTGTAATAATTGTCAGGAATATGGCCACACAAGGTCTTATTGCACGCTTCGTCCAGTATGCGTTGCTTGTGGAGACCTTTATGAATCTCACAAATGCCCAAAAAATAAAGAGGATCCCAGCAGCAAAAATTGCGGAAACTGTGGAGGCAACCATACGGCTAACTACAGGGGCTGTCCAGTCTACAAGGAACTGAAAAGTCGTACACACCAAAGAGTGACCACTGCTCACTCACATACACCACCTATGAAATTTACACGTAATGTCTTCCCCTTCAGCTGTTAAATCTTTAGCCAATAATGAGGTCACCGACAAATCCGCAAGCTATGCAACTGCAGTAAAATTGGGTCTTAAAAGTACCGCTCCCACCAATCCATCATCATCAGATCATCAGTTTCCCCTCATCAACCAGAAGAACCGTCTACGAACAAACTTGAAACATTGACATGTAATCTTCAACAAAGTATGATGGAATTCATGTCATTCATGCAGACAACTATGCAAGATCTTATGCGAAACCAGAACGTTTTGATTGAGCTGCTTGTTGCTCAAAAACAGACTAAATAATCAATGGCTCCTGTCGGGTCAAGCAGCAGCACGGCGTTTAATGTTTATGTTTAAATAATGTTTATGTAATGTTTAGTGTATTTATTTGTGTAATGTTTATTTATTAGGCTTAAGTTTGTACAAAGGCTTTGTTGATCGCAAGCCGACTCTTTCTCGGCCGCTCGACTCAACAAGCTTTCTATAGAGAGTTTTAGCTCGTAGTGTCTAGGTCGGGCCGCCCTCTCCATTATTCGAGAGCTTTAGCTTCGCAGTGACCAGTCGGGCCGCCCTCTCTGTACTTTACTTGAGTCCCTGCAGGCACCATAGCTGGTCTATCTGCGGATCATCCGGCTTGATCTGCATGCAGGAATAAACATTTTTTATAACGTTCAAAAGTAACAAATTCGTCTTTTTATTTACGGCATTGAAAACGCTCAATGACCAAACAGCTCCACTCCGTATAGCACTGTGGAAGGCCAACGGCGTCTCTCAGCGCAAACTCGAGTTAACTCAGTTCCTTATTAATTACCATATCGATGTAATGCTACTCGCAGAAACTCATCTCACAAATAAATATAATTTTCAAATTCGAGGCTTTCTATTCTACAACACGAATCACCCAGACGGGAAAGCTCATGGAGGCATTGGGATTCTGGTTAGAAATCGCATCAAGATGCTTCCACAATAACTTCGCCACTAACTTCATGCAAGCTACATCAATAGATGTGCAAATGGATTCCCGATCTTTAAATCTTGCCGCCGTATACTGCCCTCCTCGGTTTACATTATCAGAATCCCAATTCATGGAATATTTCAACTCTCTGAGCGAACAATTTATAGCAGCAGGAGACTTCAATGCCAAGCATACGCACTGGGGATCTCCACTTGTGACTCCTAAGGGAAGGCAGTTCTACAATGCAATAATAAAAGCAAGCAACAAGCTAGACTGTGTGTCACCTACACCTACATATTGGCCAACAGATCCTAGAAAACTGCCAGACTTGATAGATTTTGCAGTCACAAAAAACATTCCTCGCAACCTGACAAGCGCCAACTCCTTACCAGATCTATCGTCTGATCACTCGCCTGTACTTCTTCATCTAAATCTACATCCAGTTGCGGTAGATAAACCATTCAGACTAACAACGAATAAAACCAATTGGCTTAGGTACAAAAAATATATAAGTTCGCACATTGAGTTGAATCCACGTTTGAATGACGAAGCTGATATCAACTTATCCACAAACACTCTTGAATCCGTCTTGGTCGCAGCAGCTCGCGTATCAACTCCACAAACGCAAAAAACATCGTACAATAATAGATACACGAACGTTGAAATAGAGCAGCTCGTTCTAGCAAAGCGACGCTCACGGCGAGAATGGCAATCCAACAGATCACCATCCGCAAAACAAAGGTTAAAAGACGCTACAGAGAGGCTCTCAGCTGAACTTCGTCATGAAGAAGAAAGGTCCCAAAAACATTACATAGAACAGATATCCCCAATGAGCTCCAAGCTTCTTGGCACACATTACCCTATATCTCAGAACACACAACAAAATCCCGATTCATCAATTCGGTTTTCGAGAAAAACACGGAACCATTGAGCAAGTCAACCGTATAACCTCAGAAATCCGAAATACATTCGAACAAAGGGAGTACTGCACTGCGATATTTCTGGACGTATCACAAGTTTTCGACAGAGTATGGTTAGAAGGTCTAATGCACAAAATTATAAATTATAATGCTCCCAACCAACACTCACAAACTTCTGAAGTCATACCAATACAACAGGAAATTCTCAGTAAGATGTAATTCAGCCACGTCCGATGACTTCATCATTAGAACCGGAGTTCCTCAAGGCAGCGTGCTTGGACCAACACTCTACACTGCGGACATCCCAACGAGCAGGAATCTAACCACATCCACTTTTGCAGATGACACAGCGATCCTAAGCCGCTCGAGATGCCCCAAGCAAGCAACGGCGCAACTTGCTATACACCTGGTGGCAGTGGAGAAATGGCTATCCGACTGGCGAATCAAAGTTAACGAAAAAAAATTCAAACACATAACGTTCACTCTTAACATGCAAGACTGCCCTCCACTTATTCTTAACAACACAGTGGTTCCGATAGCAAATGTAGTAACATATCTTGGCGTACACCTCGGTAGACGGCTTACCTGGCGCAGCCACATTGAAGCCAAAAGAACGCATTTAAAGCTCAAAGCCAACAGCCTCCACTGGCTTATAAATAGCCGCTCGCCCCTTAGCTTGGACTACAAGGTACTCCTATATAACACCTTCTTGAAACCAAATCTGGATGTACGGCTTCCAGTTGTGGGGGAACTCCAGTAACAGCAGTGTGGATATAATGCAACGAACTCAATCAAAAATTCTCAGAACCATCACCGGGGCACCGTGGTACGTTCGTAATGAAAACATTCACAGGGACCTTCACATACCACTCGTCAGAGCACAAATCAGAGCAAGAGATAGCACAAATCAAAACAAAGTACTACAACAGGCTATCA